GTTGTAAATGGTGGGTTATGATTGGTTGCTTTTGGACCAATCATGAGGTGCCGGATATGCAAATTTGAGGGATTCTAGTGGCCAATCAGAGCAAGGTTTCGAAGGTCAGGTTTTTGGAAGGGAACCAATCATGGTAATTGTTTGCTCTCTGAGAAACCTCAGCAGACTCGCTGGTGCGCAGCTTCCCACACCATGGTATTTTTTCAAGTATTGTACATTACATCTTAGATTTTCTACTTCATGCTTTAGGCCAAAGATGCCCTTGAGAACACTGAGGTTCCTGTTGGCTGCCTTATGGTGTACAACAATGAAGTTGTGGGGAAGGGAAGAAATGAAGTGAATCAAACCAAAAACGTGAGTTGAACAGTTTAATTGCAAACATACAGTCTGGACGGTAGGAGCAGAGTGAACTTACATTGTGAGAAGTGAGGCTGACGATAGTCTGACATGCGTCAGTGCTAGGTTTCTTTCCTTCAGATCCCTTTTTTCTAATACTATTTTATGATTTAAAAAGGCAATACATGTTGATTTTTTTGTGTGTGTGTAGAATTCAGAAAAATTTAGTGAAGCATTAAAATCTTGGTGGTTAATTTTCTTTTTTGTAGAGTTTTATTTTTGCACTTGAGTGAATCCCAAGAGGGGTTTTATTGCATCGGAGTGACAGCATGGAAGAAACAGGTCTTACCTGCAGATTTAGCAAATCTAATATATGAAAATTCTAATTTACAAAATAGATCAATTTAACTTGTAATGCATTCTTTAGTACCTTTATATAATGTTTTTCTCCGAGTAAATTAGAAAAATCTTTAGTTTGTAACTTTGAAGGGAGGTATAAAGGAAGCTAGTTCTATATCAAATAATTCAACAGCATCAGGTCTCTAACATGAGCTGTCTGGCAGGTACATGTGTACATTTTAATAATAGCTTGTGTGATTTTCATTGTGCTGAGTTTAGGAAGTTCATGGTTTAAGGCAATGCATCTTCCTTTTTTTTATTGGAGAAGTTTTTGTTATAGGGCACATGTGCTCTATACATGTGCTCAACAGAGAGACAGAAAGTGAAAAATCACCCCCCAGGGGTGATGTCCACGCCACAGTCCCTTCTACTCCATTCTCATCTTGAGATCTTAGGCATGCATACACACGTGCCCAGCCTGAGTTTAAACCACTGGGTCTAGGACTCGAGCCACAGCTGACTACATGGTAGTCCAGCTACATAACCATTACTCCAATTGCTGGTCCTAAGGCATTGCTTCTTAATGTGGTATCACAACAATATATCACAATAAGTACACTTGGGATATATGAGTGAAATACCAATTTGTATTTTTTTTTAAATTTTGCCATAGGGTACATGTGCTTGCAGGAGAGAGACAGAGAAAAACAGAGAGAGAAAGAGAGAGAGAGAAAGTGAGAAATCAGCCCTCCCTCCCCAGGGAGATGACCATGTCACAGTCCCTTCTCCTCTATTCTCTTCTCGGGATTTTGGGCACACACACCTGCGAGCATGTTTTTCAAGCTGCTGTGGCCAAGACTCTTAACTGAGGAATCAGCCGTGTGGGATCCAGTGCCTTAACCACCATGCCATCTGCTGGCCCAAAGTACCAACTTCCGTGATTATAAAAGTATAAGGTAAGCCCATGGATGACTTATAACCGTAAGGCCCTTCACACAGACTTCGATCTTATCATGTGATCATGGGAGCCAGAGAACAAACTGCTGCTGGTGGTATGGGGACATTGAAGTGTATTTATCGCCATCTATCAAGAAGAAAAGGAAAGCAAGATTCAGCAGAACACGTGTAAAGCAGGAACCCCTATTCCCACAGTATCATGAAGATATCAAAACATCTGTGAGAAAAGTAGTAAACGTATCACAAGTAGTGAACATATGGGTACTTATTTCGGAGTGAATTCTGTATTGTAAATAACTTGCCTAGCTCCCAATTGGTGTTTTGTGTTTCAGCATGGTGTCTCTACCATGAGACCTTTGAATCCTAGTATATCTTATCTCCTGAATGACCTGGGTTTCTTTTGCTCCTTGAAATTAATGTGGACTTATTTTGGTGTTCTGTATCTTATAGAAGATTACTCTATTAAATAGATTTCTCCTAGCTGTGTCTCTTTTATATATAGGAAGTAGACTGAGGTGGTTCAGTACACAATTGCTAATCGGGTGTTATGGAGAAACTTGATTTCAGTAATTGTGACTCTCATTTTATTTCTTTTTTTTTAATTTTTATTTTTGAGAGGTTTTTGCTATAGGGCGCATGTGCACAGCAGAAAGACTGAGACAGACAGAGAGATAGAAAGTGAGAAATCACCCCCCCCAGGGGGGATGGCCATACCGCAATCCCTTCTCCTCCATTCTCCTTTCAGGACCTTGGGCATGCACGCACATGCGCCCGGAGTGAGTTTAAGCCACTGGATCCAGGACTCGAACCGCGGTCGACTCCAGGGGAGTTCAGCAATATAGCCATTACACTAACTGCTGGTCCCATTGTGACTCTCATTTTTAAAAAGCACCCACATTGGGGAAACTTTTTCCTTTTTTTAAGTTCTCCAGTTGATTTTAGTACATAACCAACCTCTTTGAGAACCTCTTCTTTTTTTTTTTTTCAAAGTGTCTGCCATATGGTGTGTGTGCTTGCTGGAGAGGAGACAGAGAGATGGAAAGTGGAAAATCACACACTAGCGGGATGGCCATGCTGCAACCCCTTCTCTATTCTTCTCTTTGGATTTTGGGCATGCATGTACACACGCCAGGTGTGATTTTCAAGCTACTGAGTACAGGACATGAACTATGGCCAGGCATGTGGAAATCCAGTTCTTATCCACCACACCACCTGCTGGCTCAGAGAACACCTTCTTTAAAGTACCATCCATCTTTGAGTGGGACTTAATTCTGTGATTCTCCCATTGGCCCTTTGGTCACCTCCCGATGGTCCCTCATTCCCATCCGCCCCTGGCTGCCTGGTAGCTTGGGCTGCTGGGGTAGCACTCTACCCTCTGCTTTACATCACAGGTAGCTGAGTACCTGTTTGCCCCAACAGATTCTATGCTTATTGAGGACAGAGATTTTGTTTTTGTTTTGTTTTGTTTTTAGAGAGAGATGTTTGCTATAGAGTATATGTGCTCCCCAGAGAGACAGAAAGTGAGAAAACACCCCTCCGGGGGAATGACCATGCCACAATCCCTTCTTCTCCATTCGCTCAGGATCCTGGGTACACGTGCACATGTGCCCAGCGTGAATTTTAAGCCACCAGGTCTGGGACTTGAACCATGGTCAACTACATAGGAGTCTAGTGATGTAATCATTATGCCATCTGCTGGTCCCCAAGACAGACTTTTGTCCTACATGGCTACACAGGACTTATTTAGCATAATGGACTGTACACAGCTAGTTTTTAAGTGTAAAATTTTTGATATATGCTATCTATATAGAATCTATGATACTCACTAAATTATTAATAAATGCTATCTATATAGAATCTGTGATAGTCACTAAGCTGTTTTGGTAAGGGGACGAAGAAAAGAGAGAGAGAGGTAGCTGAGCACTTATGCAGCACTGTGCTTTGCATAATTCACATTGCTCTATGAGATTGTAGAGGTGCAAATATCAGTGTGCCCATTTTACATATGGAAAAACCAAAGCTTAGGGAAGTTAGGAAAGTTGCCCAAGGTCACATAATTACTAATGTCACTGTCATTACTAATTATGCTACACTGTCTCACATAAGGTATCTGGAACTAATACTAAATCAAATTTCTGCTTCTCTAGAATTGGCCAGTATATAAAATCTCATTCCCCTAAAAATGTGAATGATGATGTTCTTGTAAACTAAATATAGATTTGCTTAAACTGAGGTCAGTGACAACCCTGCAAATATATTTGAAGCCAGAGTGTAAGGTTATGGAAATGTCAAGCTTCCCTTAAAATATTGAGAGACTGTAGGTTTTTTTTTTTTTTTTTTTTTTAGGGGGGGTGGGAAGACTTCTCTATGGCATTTTAATTGAAAGAATTTCCACTAAGGTACTTAGATACTTAACTAAAAGTATTAAAATAGCGTGAGCTGTATGCATTTCAAATTAGGTATCCTTCATTGGTGAGGTTTTATTTGTTTTGTTTTCTTTGCAGAGGCTTTTGCCTTCAGGTGGGTGCACTTGCCGGGGAGAGAGAGAGAGACAGTGATAGGGAAAGTGAGAAATCACTCCCCGGGGCATGGAGGGGATGGCCATGCTTCAATTCCTTCTCCTCCCATGATCTTAGTCATGCTGCACACGTGCCCAGTGTGATTTTCAAGCCCCCGGGTCTGGGATTCGAGCTGCAGTCAACCATGTGGGAGTCCAGTGACTGATGGTTATGCCATCTGCTGGCCATGTTTTGTAGGTTTTGATACTTGAACTGGGGAATACATTGACAACTGCTGAGTGCCCTGATACTTTATTCATTAAAATGCTGACAGAAGCGATGGGCGTACATCTTTTATTTTCTGAATATTTGTTAAATAGCAGTTACATAAAGCACAATATTGAATCTAGCACCTCTCTTTCAGGCGACTCGACATGCAGAAATGGTGGCCATCGATCAGGTCCTCGACTGGTGCCGTTGCAGTGACAAGAGTCCTTCTGAAGTGTTTGAACACACCGTGTTGTACGTCACGGTAGAGCCGTGCATCATGTGTGCGACTGCTCTCCGCCTCGTCAGTATCCTTTGACTTGGGCTAATGTCCTGGACCCTTCTTGGGAACATGAATGAGGCCAGACTCATAACCTGTTCTCTTAATAGAGGAAAACACAGCCTTATGAAACACATTGTAAAATACAGTGTCTCTTGGCCAAAAAAGGGCAAGCGTCTTAAATAGTAAAATTGCCTTTTATTTTTTATATGAATAAACATAGAACTATTAGACTAACAAACTAGAGAAAGAAAAGTTTAAACTAACTTAACTGTTATGTAAGGGTAAATCATAAATTCAGTTAAATTAGATTATTAACCAGTGTATATAGGAAAAGTATTAAATATACAGCGAAGTTTTGCCTTTGGATAATGGATTATGGGTGATTTAAAAGGTTTCTTTCTGTTTTTATATATTTGTTTCGCCATGATACATACCACAATGTATAAATAATTTTAAGTAAATAAGTAAAAATAAAATTATTTACAATATTATAATTTTAAGTAAATGGAAAATAAAGTTACAGCTCCCCACTTGTGTCTTGCATGAAGCAAGCAACAGAAATACTGAATGCAATCCATTTCTAAAGATATTTTTAAGGAGTATTTGAAAATTCAAAAACTCAGTTTCATTCTTGCATATTTTTTACATTACTTATTTTATTGTGTACATGCAAGTATTTTTATCATCTTAAAAGTACTTTTTTTAAAAATAATTATTTATTTAATTTTACTTATTATTATTATCATCATTATCATTATATTGTTATTTTAATTTGCTATAGCGATGCATGTTTACCAGAGAAAGACAGAGAGAGAGAGAGACAGAGAATGAGAGAAAGCCAGCTCCCAGGTCCAGGACTTGAACTGCAGTTGGCCATGTGACAGTCTAGAACCTTAACCACCATGCCACCTACTGACCCCCAACACACTTTTTTAAGTAGGATAAATATACAACTTTTGAATGGGTAGTTATGGGCAACTAAGAATTCTCTCCTCACTCTGCCTTAAAGAGTTTCTCAGCTTCAGTCTATTTTGTTTTGGTGCATAGGTTGTATTTTATTTGAAGAAAGAACAGGGAGCAATCTGTTCCTTTTAGAAAGTGAAAATCTCTGCCTCTTTTCTGGATCTAACTCTCTAATGATTATGACAAAAGGATTTAGAGAATAGCAGAGAGAACATTAAACTGTGAACATTATGCACCTATATACTCAATTTTCATTCTGTTTGCAGTTGTTTGATGTTAATTTCTAAGTACTTTAAACCTTTTTCTTTTGTGTAACTGGATGTATAACTTTTTTTTTTTTTTGAGAAGTTTTTGCTGTAGGGTACGTGTGCTCACCAGAAAGACAGAAAGAAGCAGAGAGACAGAAAGTGAGAAATCACCCCCTGGGGGAATGGCCATGCCGCAATCCCTTCTCCTTCATTCTCCTCTCTGGATCTTGGGCACGCATGCACATGTGCCTGGCGTGAGTTTAAGCCACCGGGTCTAGGACTCAAACTGCGGTTGACTACATGGGAGTCTAATTATGCCAACTGCTGGTCCCAGATGTATGACTTTTAAGAGTGATCCTAAACTTATTTCATAGCCGTAGTGAGACTTTTCAGGATGGCTAGTATAAACCTACCCTAGTTTTGCCGTGATGTGCAATTGAACTGCATTCTATGTAGGACCTTAATTCTCTCTTAGAAATCCCACTGGTTGTGTATGGTTGTCAGAATGAACGATTTGGTGGCTGTGGCTCTGTTTTAAATATTGCCTCTGCAGACTTGCCACACACTGGGAGACCGTTTCAGGTAATATGAACTACTTACATTTCTTTTCTTTCTTTTGAATTACCTTTGTCTCATTGTGGGGTCGTGAGTAGGTAATCAGTGTTGAATATACCAAGAAGCCATGACAGAATCAGACAGGATCTCAGGACCTCTTATATCTCAGACAGCACAAAAAGTTCCTAGGTCAGTGGTTACCTCTCTTCATTCACAGACTCTTTGCTGAAGGAGAGTCCTCAGCCTTTCCAGGTAACTCCTGATAATTCTCACCAACACCTTCAGGTATGTGTAAAGAAACTCTTGCGGGGCCAGCAGGTAGCATAGTGGTTAAGGTATTAGACTCTCGCATGGCTGACTGCGGTTCAAGTCCCAGTGGCTTGAAACACACACCAGGAGCAAGTGTGTGTGTGCCCAAACTTTCAGGAGGAAAATGAAGGAGAAGGGATTGCATCATGGCCAACCCCCTGGTGGGGGGCGATTTCTTCGTTTTCTCTCTGTCTCTCTGGTGAGTGCCCATGTCCTATAGCAAACATCTCTCCCCCCCAAAAGAAGCTCTTGTTATTAGAGTTTTTATTCAATGACTGTTTCCAGTTCCCTGTTATACCAAGTTTGATGAAACCTGGCCTTTGTCAGTGACACTAAATGAAGTATTTTTAACTAATTCAGTCATTTTGCATGATTGTCACACAGGCCACTTTTGGTATCTTATCAGTCACCTTATTTTCATTACTTATTTTTCTGTGCTTTTAATGTGGAAATTTCCTTCAGACCCAAGGATCTATGTCTGAAATCTCTTATAATTTCTACTTTCCCTTTAATCTTGCCAGCTCTTCCAAAGTTTTTTATTTATTTATTTATTTTTAAGAGAGATTTTTGCTATAGGGTGTGTCTGCTTGCTGGAAAGACAGAGACAGGAAGCGAGAAATCACCCTCCAGGGAGGACAATGCCATAATCCCTTCTCCTCCATTTTCCTCTTGGGATTTTGGGCACACACGCACACATACCTGGTGTGAGTTTTAAATTGCTGGGTCCAGGACTTGAACTACAGTTGACTATGTGGGAGTCCAGTGACGTAACCCTTATGCCATCTGGTGGTCCTCTCTCAAAGTTTTTCTAGTTTCAACTGTGAGCATTAGGAATTTATATTTTAGACTTTGGCTTGTGGATGTATGATCAGTTTTTATAGTTTGATTGTTTTTCCTAAGATTAATTTAAAATGAATAACCTTATTAAGGTTAATCCTAAAATATTATGCTTTAAAAAGAAAAGGACTTAACAAATGATGGGCTTGGTGAGCAGTTTACTTCAAAGACCTCAGCTATTCTTTGAATGTTAAAAGGACCTATAAGGGCTAAATATGGCTGAACCCCACTGAGAACACATTTTGTAAAAGGTCCATCTTGGAGTTTTCCCTGCTAAGCATTAGCTTTCCTAACAGTTCATTAGGGAATAGATAGCTTTTAGCATCACATCTCAAAAATAATGGTAGTGTGGGCAGGCCCCATAGTGCAGTGGTTAAGGAACTAGGTCCCACATGGCCAACTGCGGTTTGCTTTCTGGTCCAGCTACTTGAAAAACACACTGGGCTTGTGTGCGTGTGTGCCCCACATCCTGATGGGAATGGAAAGAAAAGGACTATGGCATGGCCGATCCCCATTGGAGGGTGCTTTTTTTCCTCCCTGTCTTTCTCCTTTTTGATTTTTTGGTGAGTGCATGCACCCTCTGGCAATAAAAAGAAAAAAAATTGGGATGATTGTGAAAGTAAACAATACAGTTAGCTTGATCATTAAAGACACCTACAAAGGGACTTGATTCTTCTAATCACTTCTATTAGTGGTTCACACTTTGCTTACATAACTCTTTGCTAATGAATGGCTGACTTTGTACTTCCTTTATGAGAATGAGCTAAAGAATTTGGGCAAATTCTGCACTATGGGGCCTGCCCACGCTACCATTATTTTTGAGATGTGATGCTAAAAGCTATCTATTCCCTAATGAACTGTTAGGAAAGCTAATGCTTAGCAGGGAAAACTCCAAGATGGACCTTTTACAAAATGTGTTCTCAGTGGGGTTCAGCCATATTTAGCCCTTATAGGTCCTTTTAACATTCAAAGAATAGCTGAAGTCTTTGAAGTAAACTGCTCACCAAGCCCATCATTCGTTAAGTCCTTTTCTTTTTAAAAGCATAATATTTTAGGATTAACCTTAACAAGGTTAATCAAAGATGAGCCTTTGGATGGCAGGCATGGGTGAAGCAGTTCTCTTTGACACATCAGTGACAGGAAGGCAGAAACACGCCTCTGCATGGCATTGAACTGGCCGAGCCAAAAAAAGCTCACGTGCAGTGTGTGTACCTGGCTCCAGTGGCTCACTGAAAATGAAAATGAACGCTCATGGAGTGAGCTGTATGTCCAGGTTGGATGCCAAATTATGTTTTTAAAGGTGTTTTGAGATTCTAAAGAAAAACATTGATATCCCAGGCTTCTGTTTTCTTCTTTTTATATGACTACTTTCTGGGGCAAAAGGTGATTAGGAAGTGAGATACTGTTTTCTTATTGCCAAATTATGGATTCTTTTAATATATGGTCAGGCGTTGCTTAGCAGTGGGGCTAGAATCTGAGAAGTGTGTGGGTAGGTGCTTTGTCCTTGTGCAGATATCATGGAGTGTAGTTACATACGCCCAGATGAGACAGCCTGCTGCACCCCTGAGCTATGTGCGGTAGGTAGTGGATTTTGTGTGGTTTAGGGCCATAGTGAACAAGACAAAATGAAGCGAAATCAAATGTAAGAGAAAATAATGGGATCAGGAGACACAGTAAACATAAATCGTATGAGGTTGCTGCTTGCTCAATACAGCATACTGCTTCACAACAAACTTTTTTTTTTTTTAAGTAGCAGTACACGCTAAAATAATAGTAAAAAGTATAGTATAGTAAATACATAAGTGGGTAGCATGGTTGTCCATCATTATCAAATATTTAGTACTGTACATAATTGTATGTGCTATGCTTTTGTACTATCATTGGAAACACACGAATAATGCATTGCACTGGAGCATTTTTCTCTTTCTTAAAGAATTATTTTATTTAACTTCATTTATTTATTTATTTATTTATTTATTTAAATTTTACCAGGGAGGAACAGAAAGAGACAGACAGAGAGAGAGAGTGAGAATGCAAGCTGCCAGGTCCAGGACTTGAACCATGGTCAGCCATGTGGGAGTCCAGTGCCCTTCACCAGCACGCCACCTGCCGACCCTGCACTAGGGCATTTTAAAGTTATTTTTTAAAAAAATTCAATCAAAATATAATTTAGGATAGAAATGACAAATACATGACAGATCAAACAATTAGTTGGCAATGATTGAGATGAATAGAAAAATGTCATCATGCGTACTTTAATCCTGATGAATGTATATATAATAGGGCATTCTGATAGCTGTAATGTCCATAGGCATTGGGAACTTTCTGGCTTCACTGTAATTGTATATATGATCCATCACTAACTGAAACATCTTTTATTATTATTATTTATACATTCAATTGTTCTACATCATTTAGTTTGTAAAGAAATTTTACCCAGCATGATCTACGCCACACAGCAGACGAGTTAAGAATACTAACTGAAACATCTTTATACAGCATGTGACTGTGTAGTGTAGGCAGCCTTAGAGTTCATAGATGAGATCTAAAGAATTATTCTTTTCAAAGGTGGTTATCCACTTTGATTACTTACCTTCTTTATTTTTTTTTAATTGTTAAGAATGTGTGCTTTTTATTAAGGGCACAAGTTTGTAGCTATAATGGACACTTGAAAATAATATTTTGGTATCTTAGAGTGATACAGTTTCCTTCTCTACCTGTATCTTAGTGGGAGCATGCCTTTGCCAGGTCCCTGCCTAGACGACTGGACCAGAGACATGGCACAAGCATTGGTGGGTTTTTACAGAGCTTCTGAGAGATTCTACTGAACCATCTAAGTTGCACCATTGCTGTAACTTCACATGAACGGATAGGGCTTTGAGTGTGTCTGTGGATGCCCGTGAGCAGAGACACCAACACTTAGTGTGGCAGGAAGGAAGTGCAGGGCAGTTGTGGAGGGGATGATAGACAGCAGTTAGGAGGACAAGCCCTGAGAAGTCAAGGGAGGAGAGAGTTCTGAAAGGAAGCAGCTGTGGTCAGTCGTGAGCGGCAAGGAGGTAGAAAGGAGACCAGTCTGTGTCAATAGGAGTCCTTGGGTATCTGAGAACCTTCCGTGGGGTGGTAGAACAAGCCAGTGAAACACTTAATAAGCCTAGTAAATAAATGCAGATAAAAATAGCTGACACTTAATGAGCACTTCTGTTGTACCAGACATTATCCTCATAAAATCCCTCTGAGTTAAGAGCTATTTTTAAAATTTTTATTCATGATAGTCTGTGCATATGAGAGAAAGAGAGAACCCCCTCAGTAAGGTGTTGTCACGTCTTGATCCCCTTTCCTCGGCCTCTAGCTCGTCAGGATCCTGAGCACACATATACACACGTGTGTGCATGCATCCTGCTCAGTTTTAGGCCAGCTTGGAACGGAACGTGCTTCCAACACCGCAGTTCATTTTGCCACCTCCTGTGCCACCAGAATAGGTTTCTTATTTCTTATACCATTTTTTTATTGAAGAGGTTTTTGCTATAGGGCGTGTGTTTGCCAGAAAGACAGAGAGAGACAGAGAGACAGAAATCACCTCCCGAGGTGGAATGGCCACACCACAATCCCTTCTCCTCCATTCTCCTCTCAGGATCTTGGGCACGCACGCACATGTGCCCGGAGTGAGTTTAAGCCACCAGGTTCGGGACTCAAATCATGGTCAACTACATGGGAGTCCAGCGACATAGCCATTACGCTAACTGCTGGTCCCATTTCCTATACTTTTTATACGAAGCGTAGAGTTTAAGTATCTCACGCAGGGTAACTTCGGTAATAGTCAACTGAGAAATAATAATTAGTCGATTGAGATTGATGTTTGACTGAGGTATGTGTATTCTTTTGGAAGTGTACTTCCTTATCTATATTACTATTAACCCCAAAGTATGTTAATGTGACCTGCCATTTGTTTGCATAATTGTGTATGTATTGCTGTGTTGATGGGAGCACAATTGCTCATAAACAGCCTCTGGACTTGCTTTAAAAATGGGGGTGGGGATTCTTCAGACTGCTGCAAAGGACACAGAAACATGTCATCCTAAGCAAAATATTAAAGAGTACACAGACAATTTATTTTGTAAAGCAGAAAACAGAAAAATCCACATTTTCACAGGCCTATATGTTCATTCTCAACTTTCTCATTTTGTTAGTGCATTCCTGGGTTCCGGGCTGAGGAAGCAGTGGAAATGTTAAAGACCTTCTACAAACAAGAAAATCCAAACGGTCAGTTTCCCCCTTTGGTATGGAATGCACCTCTATCAGAACAAGTCAAAATGAAGAAAGTCTCACATGCACCTAGCTCTTCATTTTCTCTTTTTGTTTTCTATTCTTTTTACAGCACCCAAATCCAAAGTTCGGAAAAAGGACTATCAGAAATCTTGAGCTTGTTCTGATGACAAAACTCACGTCTCAAAGTGACCTGAACACGATTCTTGGACCAAAAGCTGTTGACATCGTTGACTCATGTTTCTATATTGTTCATCTACAGGAAAATGCTATCTCTGATCTTTTGCCCTGTTAGGTGAACAAATTAGCATGTTTCAGAAGTCTGACCATTGTAAACGACTGTTAGCTTTTCCAGAAGCCGAAAGGATGTCTTAAGATGGATAAAAAAGTTAAGGTTTGAGGTCTTAGAACTTAGCAAGCAGTGCACATCCATCTGGTCACTACATTATGCACATCCAGAAAAAGTGCTGACTTTTCAGAGAATGTGCACCAGACCCAGGGACCTGGCATGCGTTCGGACAAGAGTGTGCCACCTGTGGACACAGCCTCCAGGACGGGCATTTCAGTCTCCCAGGACTGGAGGCCTGTGACTTCTTTCTAAATTGTGTGTGTGTGTTGTATATATATTATCATGATTATATGGTCCTTTTTTTTTTGCTTTTATAAAGCATTTGGAGAAAATGAATACTTTTAAAATAAATGCTTAAGTGTCATTTTTAAATTATAGCATATTGCTATCATAAAACCTTGTGTATGATTTTGGAGATGAATAGTTTTAAAAATAAAATATAAAAATATGAGTGCTGTTGAGCGACTATACTATGCCAGCCTCCATTTGTTCCATGGATTAGTGAACCCAACAAACACCCTGCCCTCCTGCAGCTTGCATCCTAGCAAGGGGAGACAGATGACACATATAATCAGTTATCCAGTTCGTTGGAGGGTGGTATGAAGTATGGCATAGGAAAAAGCACAGGGTAAAGGGAATGGGTGTGCCAGTTGGTGGTGGGAGTTTCAATTTATCTCAAATTAAATACAGCTTTTATTTATTTATTTTTTTAAGTCCAGATAATAAGGACTAGCAGGTAGTGTGGAAAGGTGTGAGACTCCCATTTGGATGACCATAGTTCAAGTCTCAGACCCAGCAGCTTGGAAATCATGCCAGGGGGTCTCTCCAGAAGAGAGGAGAATGGAGAAAGGACTGCAATGTAGCCATCCTCCCACCCTCGGGAGAAGAGGGTTTCTGTTTCCTTCTCTCTATATCTCTGGTGAGCACACATGCCCTATGGCCTAAACCTGAAAAAAAAAAAAAAAAAGAAGAAAAGAAAAGAAAGAAAGAAAAGGTCCAGATAATAAGTTTAACATTTGAAATGCAGAACAATAAACACAGCACTAGAAAGGATATCCGTAACAGGAAGTCCCAGGTGTTCTCACTGACTGCAGTGAGGGCTGGACTCTGATGAAAAGGGCTGTCTGCAGAGCCACGCTGGGTGCACTGTGTGTCTTTGCCCAGAAGAGGGCCTCACCATTCCACCAGAAATCCAACTCCAGACCCTGGAGGACAGCTCCTTCTCAGTTGCATTTCTTCAGTGGATTCATTTCCTTGATGCAAAGCATCTGTATTTGTTGGTTCTGCCATTTGAGCGATGTCTCTGACTTGTTTGTTTTGAATTATATTACAGGCTGGAATGTAATTGTGGTGAAAGTATTTTTATATTGCTGAAGTAGCAGCTAATCACAGTTACATGCTTCAGAGGATTTATAATTGCTTGGTTTTGTGCATGTGTGTTTTCAACTGCATTTGAATTTTATGGAGAAGAATGTGCATGATTTTAAATGTACAATTATGTTACATGCACCTTCTCGTCAATTTTAACTTGAAAACTTCTCACTAAATTTTAGTGCTTTGACTAGTTTCTTCTTTTTGCAGTTGGTCATAAGTCATTTCTGGCTCCATATACTTTTCTGCAAGCAGGCTTCATTATATTGTCGTCATATTATTTTCTTGGGGATTGTTTAGCACAAATAACCTGGAATCTTTCCTCTGTAGAGTACCACCCAGTATGTCTGGTGGAGTATCCCCATGATGTTCTTGTTAAACATTTGTTAAATAAAATGATTGATTGAAAAGAGGTAAAGGGGAGTGAATAATAAGGAAACTACCTAGGTTAAAAAGCCAAAGCCAAAAATAGTAAATAGGGGGGCCAGCAGTTGGTGTAATGGCTATGTTGCTGGACTCCCATGTAGTCGACTGTGGTTCGAGTCCTGGACCCTAGGGCTTAAACTCACACTGGGCACCCATGCTTGCCCAAGATCCCAAGAAGAGAATGGAAGAGAAGGGATTACGGTGTGGCCATACCCCCAGGGAGGGGGGTGATTTCTTGTTTTCTGTGTTTCTGGTGAGTGCACGTCCCCTATAGCAAAAAACCTCCAAAAAAAAAAAAAAAGTAAACAGGTATCTGAGCCCAGAGACAGTCACTACTTAAAGAATCAAGAAAATGATGAAATGGTAAACAGGGACAGATAGAAAAGACTTAGCAACACGGATATGTTCTTTCTTTGCTGTGTTTTAGAGAATAGCTGAAGAGTATTTTTCTGATTCCTAAGTGTGGCTGAACAATTGCAATTTACCACCTTTTTGATTGTCTTTCCTGTGATTGACATAGAAAATTGTGTCCTAAATTTGTGGGTTTAGGCCCAGTTTCCTCCATTGCTTTGGGAGAAAATCAGTTAGATAGCATTGGGGTCAGGGCCTCTAGCACTGGTGCAGGACCACGGTGGGTGTTCTAGATAGTCATTCAGTGGAATAGTGACAGCAGTTTTGAAGTGGTGAGGAGCTGGGCATATACAGTGAGGGATTCTGGCTTCTCAAGCACCTACTTAGACATGGCTTAAAATATTAAGTTGTCCCGGTTCAAAAGCTTGAATTCAACTGTTTGGTGCTGATAGTACATGTCAAAGAGACCAGCTAAGAGACTTATTTTATGTCAGAGATAGTTCTGGAAGTTTGGGAATACAAAATGGTTTTTAAAATCGCTGCCCTGTTTAGAGAAATTAGGAGAAATGATTCCATGTAGGCTGTTAAAGTATCCAATGCTCTCTGGTCTTTGCAGGAAGCTCTGCTGAGACTGGGTGGTATGTAATACTTTGGCAGGCTTCAATCACTGATAACAGATCATGTTAACTCGTCTTCAGGCTTTCTTGTTACTTGGCACAATCTCTTCCTGTGTTGTCTTTGGAATATCATGGAGAGAAAAAAGATAGCCAAGAACTCCAACATAGGCAAGAACTGGATTTTTCTTTAAACCTTTTATTTGGAAAGTTACATGTGTCACACATCACGGCTTTTTTACCCTGAAATACTTCAGTATTCCATAAACATAGGATATTCTTTTATACTTGTATAGTCACAGTACAGTTATTGACTTCAGTACATTTAACATTGATATACTACTTAAAAAAGAATTAGTCACTTAATTTTATTTATCTTTATTATTATAATGATTTTAAATTGCTACAGGGCATGTGTGCTCAATGCAGAGAGACACAGAAAGAGAGAGAGAGAGAGATTGAGAGCTAGCCGCCAGATATGGAACTTGAACTGCAGTCGGCCATGTGGGAGTCCGACACCTTAACCACCATGCCACTTGCTGGCCCTGACATTGATACACTTTAATCTACCATTTGTATTACCATTTTGTCAGTTGACTTAGTAAGGTCCTTTAGAGAACTTCCTTCATCCCTCTATAATCCCAGACCCATTCTAAGGTCAAGTCTTACATTTAGTGGCCTGGTACCTTTAGCATCTTTAATCTAATACATTTCTTCCATTTTTCTTCATCTTTGATGACATTGACATTTTTTAATAATATGAAGGAACTTCAAAAATGGAAGCCTCATGGAAAAATACAATTAAAAGATAAAAAATAAAAATATACTTTATTTCTTAATATAAACTCCACCAAATTTAAGACACTTTTGTAAATGATAATAACAGACATTTAGTCCATCCCTATAGAACTAAGGGTCCTGGGAATTTAATCAGGTCAATGCAGCCTCTTTTATATTATTATCTCAATAAAAATGTGTGTCCTGTAAGATTTTAGGAGGCAAAAAGAAGTTGGAAAAAGTCATATCAAGGCTGGAAGTTGGATGCCTTGTGATTTCTCATCGAAACCCTTGGAAAGTTGCTCTTGCTTGAAGAGAGGACTGAGCAAGAGCACTGTGGAGAAGGTCTCTGTCTCCCTTTCTCAAAATACTCATAATAAGCAGGTGTTATCACTCTTTGACCCTCTAGAAAGCCAGCAAGCAAAATGCCTTGAGCAACTTAAAAAACTGTTGCTATGGCTTTTTTCTTAACTGATTCACTTTTGCTTTGACTGGACCACTTCCACCTCCTGGTAGTCATTGCTTTGATTTTGCTGTCTTCAGGATCAGACTGGTAAAACTATGTGTCATCTATTACCATCATTCAAAGAAATGCTCCAATCCCCCTTCGTTTAACATTTCCATTAAAAACTGCTCTTATCTGCAGTTGATCTGGATGCAATAGTTTTAGCCCCATTGAGCAGACAGTTTGCTCAATTTGTTTTTTCTGTCAGAATTATTTAAGTTGAACCAGTTGAGATGTCTGTGGTGTTGGCTATCATTTCTGTTGTTAATCATCAGTCCTGTTCAACTGAGGCACAAACAAGATTGTATTTTTCCCCTTGCAAGTTGATGAAAATGGTGTGCTGCTGTGGGCATTGTCTTCAACATTATCTCATTTCTTCTTTTATTTTTATTTTTATTATTGCTATGAGGTGTGTATGATCGCCAGAGAGAGACAGAGAGAGGAAGAGGGAAAGTGAGAAATCACCCCAGAGTTCCTACTCCTCCATTCTTTTGGGATTTGGGGCAGGCATGCACATGTGCCCAGCATGTTTTCCAAGCCTCCAGGTCCACGAATCAAACTGCTCAGTTGGCCACATGGAATCCAACCACCTTAACCACCACACCACCAGCTGGCCCCATTTCATTTCTTCTTTAAACAAATTCCCATTTGTAAGTGGCTGACTTCTTTGGGGACCTTGTCCTTATAAATTTTCCACAACACATCAGTCTTTTCACCATTCTTTCACTCAACCTTCACTGTGAATTCAATGTTCGTTCTTGCTTCAGTTTTAGCAGAATTCACATTTCTATGTCAGGACGTTTTTCAAAATGATGTTTTATTATTTTTTTAGTGCCTCCAGCTACATTATGTTCAGACATGTAACAAGTTAGAACAAGCTCATTTTGGTGAAAAAAATGTTGAAATCCATGCATAGTTTTTTTATATGCATTTTTCATGACCTTTATAAAGACCTCATTTAGTTATTCTCCTCTGCCCCCAATTTCTTCTTCTATTTCTTTTTTTCCCCTATAATAGAATGATCTCCATTTTGATGTTTTCTTTTTTATAAGAATTATTTATTTTATTTATTATTATTATTATTATTTTAATTTGACCAGAAAGATACAGAGAAAGGGAAAGTGAGAAAGCAAGCCACCAGGTCCAGGACTTGAACTACAGTTGGCCGTGTGGGAGTCCAGCACCTAAACCACCATGCTACCTTCCAGTCCCTTAATGTTTTTTTAATGCTTAATTTTAAGTTATACATTCTAAATAACATTGTATTACCTAGGATATCACATCTGGAGGTACACAAGGCCATCTGTCCCTTTTGGTGGTGTTAATTTTGGTCACCTGGTCAAGGTGCTGTCTGACTTACTATTTAACTGCTTTTTCCCTCCCCTTCTGTTGCAATGAATAAACAGTCTGTGGTGACCTTATTACCATTTTTAAAAGAACATATACTTCACACTGATAGAAAGGAGGGGAGGGAAATTAATGAAATAAATTTCAAAGCAGCTATTAAATTATTTTATTGCATTCTTCCTCTTTTACTATGTCTATCAAAATTTACCAAATTCTTTTCAAATGTGAATATTTTAAATACAGATGTTTCGTGAAAATTAGAAGGAAGCCTCAGAAATAAGTTCTTCTCCTTTACAGAAGTAATAATTGCAAGAATTGTATTATACTTGATAAAATATGGTTTTAGAAAAGTAGGTATGAGAGGCTTCTGATAATGCAGCTAACCTCT